GGAGGCTGAGGTGAGTGGATGGCCTGAGCCCGCGGGTTCGAGACCCGCCTGGGCAACTCGGTGAGACCTCATCTCTACAATAAATCAAAAAAAAATTAGCCGGGCATGGTAGTGCGCACCTGTAGTTCCAGCTCCTTGGAAGGTTGAGGCAGAGGATCGCTGGAGCCCAGCAGGTTGAGGCTGCATTGGCTGGGAGCGACCACTGCACTCCAGTCTGGGCGACAGAGTGAGACTCCAACTCAAAAAAAAACAAAAAAGAAAAAAAGAATCTCCAAAAAAAATTCACTGAAGCCGAATGCAACAACACTAGCTGGTACACGGATGCTGATGGGTTCCTAGAACACTTTACCCAGTGGGGGAAGCCTGGACTACAAGGGCCCACCCTCCAAAAGATAATTCTGGTTACTTTGGGTCCTTTCCTCATGTATAGACTCCAAGCACTGTGTTCTGCAGTCACTTGGAATGGTTCGCTGCTGCCGCCACCCTGGGGGATCATTATTCAACCAAAATCCTGTCCAGTCCATTTGCTTCTGTTGGTGTTTTCCTGTCAGCTTTGTTGATCTAATTTTATTTTCTGAATATGTAAAATCTTCACATGATTCAAAACATCAAAAACATGAAAGCCAGGCATGGTGGCTCAAGACTGTCATCCAGCACTTTGGGAGGCCGAGGTGAGTGAATTGCCTGAGTCCAGGTGTTTGAGACTAGCCTGGGCAACTTCTCTACAATAAATCGAAAAATTAGCTGGGCGTGGTAGCCCACGCCCATAGTTCCAGCTACTTGGAAGGCTGAGGCCGAAGGATCACCTGATACCAGTAGGTTGAGGCTGCCGTGGCTGTGAGCATGCCACTGCACTCCTGCCTGGGTGACAGAGTGAGACTCCAATTCAAAAGAAAAATGAAAAACAAAAACATGCGAAAAGATGTATTCAGAGATTTGCCACCCCTCCTTCCCCTTCCACCCCAGTTCATCTCCCATCCCGTGCCCTCTACCCTCAGAGATCATTCCATTCAGTTTATTAATTTCTGATTTATTGTTCCTGTGTTTCTTTTGCCATGATAAGCAGAAAAAAAGGAATACTATGCTTTTAGCAGTGACTGGAGGTAACAGTTGTTGAACGTTTAAGTAGGGATGCAGATGAGGGTGAGGATTCCTTGGTCAGGGAGCACAGGAGGTGGGCTTTAGAATCACACAGATCTGGCCCGGCGGTGTGGGGGCTCATGCCTGTAATCTCCGCACTTTGGGAGGTTGAAGTGGGAGGATTGCGTGAGCCCAGGCGATTGAGATCAGCCTGGGCATCATAGCAAAACCACGTCTCTACAAAAACATCAAAACTCAGCCGGGTGTGTTGGAGTGCACCTGTAGTCCCAGCTACCCTGGATGTTGAGGTGGAATAACTGCCTGAGTCCAGGAGATCAAAGTTACTGTGAGCTGTGATCATGCCACACTGCACTCCGGCCTGGGTGAGACCCAACTCAAAAACAAAAAAACAAAACAAAATCCCCACAGGCCTGTTTTCAGTTTGGCGCAGGCAGTTATTTACCAGTTGTGTGACCTTGGGCGAGGCATTAAGTCTTTCTGAGTCTTCTTTCAAATGGGAATATTAGCACCTACTTTATTAGGGTTATTTGGGGTATAAATATAAGGACGCATATAAAATGTCTGACAGTCCTCACAATCGATGGTCAATGCTTTAGTAATAAGAGCAACAGTGAATCATTAAATAATTGGGAGAGAGATCAATGACAGAGAAATGAATGTTATTCTATGGGTTCTCAGATGAAACTTTCCAAGGTAAAAGACAAGAGGCTTTAAATGTTCAAGATTTTAGTATCCAAGTCTTATCATTTCTCAGGACAAAAAGTATATAAACAGCTCAATCAGTAAGTGAAGAGTGTGCTTATAACAAAACCTATAAACTTCTAGTACAGTTAAGGCAGGAGTTGGCAAACCTTTTCTGTGAAGTGTCAGATGGTAAGTATTTTGTGCTTTGTGGGTCTAACAGTCTCTGTTGCAACTACACACCTCCACATGGTAGAAGAAAAACAGCCACAGACAGTACTTAGTGAATGAGTCCGAATGCTTCCCAGTAAGACCTTACTTATAGACATGGTTCATTGAATTTCATATACTTTTCTTTTCTTTTCTTTTTTTTTTTTTTTTGAGTTGGAGTCTCACTCTGTCACCCAGACTGGAGTGCAGTGGCCGCTCCCGGCCATCGCAGCCTCGACCTGCTGGGCTCCGGCGATCCTTCCGCCTCGGCCTTCCAAGTAGCCGGAATTACAGGCATGCGCTACCACGCCCGGCTGATTTTTTGATTTATTGTAGAGATGAGGTTTTGCTGCCCAGGCGGGTCTCGAACCCGCGGGCTCAGGCAATCCACTCACCTCAGCCTCCCAAAGGCGCGGGATTACAGGCTGAGCCACCGAGCCCGGCTGTCTTGCTTATTCTACCAGCTTGGGAGGTTGAGGTTCAGGTAACCCATAATATGTATGATACTGTCTCCAGCTTTGCTTCTGACCTGGGTCATCTTCTGGGCCTCTTCTCTAAGTTTCTTCTATTGACTTTCCTGTCTCTCCACCCCAGGTCCTTATCTGTTGCCTCTGATATTCCATATGCTTTGACTTTTCTGTTGGCCACCTGGATTCTCGTCCTGCTGCCAGCTCTGGTTTCTGGCACCTGCCTTTCTTCTCTGTCTGGTGACCTCCATGGCTACTCATAGACCCACACAATCCTAGACCCGAAGGTCTGCTATTCTGACCTCTGATTCACTGGTAAGATTCATGTGTGTCTTTAAAGTTGTTTGTTTAATTTTTATACAGTGCCTTTAATAAAATTATAACAGTAAGTCTTATGGTAGGACACAGATTTGTGTGGTATAGTTAATCAAAGGAAAAAATAGCTTCAGAGTGTATCAAGCAATACATTAGGCTGGGTGTGGTGGCTCACACCTGTAATCCCAGCATTTTGAGAGACCATGGTGGGAAGATTGCCTGAGCCCATGAACTGGAGACCAGACCGAGCAACACAGTGAGGCCTCATCTCTACAAAATATAAAAATATTAGCTGGATGTGGTTGTGTGCGCTTGTAGTCTCAGTTACTCTGAGCCTGATCTCAGGGGTTGGAGAACAGCCTGGGAAATTTGGTGAGACCTTGTCTCTACAATAAATAAAAAAAATTAGCCGGTGTGGTAGTGTGTGCCTGTAATTCCAGCTCCTTGGAAGGTTGAGGTGGAAGGATTGCCTGAGCCCAATAGGTCAAGCCTGGGTGACAGAGTGAGACTGCAATGCAAAAATGACAACAACAAAACCCAAAAGGACATTGTCAGGTAGATTATGAAATTTCTGGTTGCTTTGCTTTACAATTGTCTATTTGTAATGATAAATGATGAACATTATTTAAATTGACATTATTGTGTCATTTGCAGACAGCATGTTAACAGTCATTACAATGAATATAGCAATGTTCTTTGTTTTGTTTTTTGAGTTGGAGTCTCTCTCTGTTGCAGAGTATAGTGTCATGCTCATAGTCAACGCAGCCTGGACCTGCTAGGTTCAGGCAATCCTTCCACCTCGGCTTTCCAAGTAGTTGGAACAACAGGTTCACACTACCATGCCTGGGTAACTTTTATTGTAGAGATGAGGTCTCACCAAGCTGCCCAGGCTGGTCTCGAACCTGTGGGCTCAGGCAATCCTCTTGCCTCAGCCTCCCAAAGTGCTAGGATTACTGGCTTGAACCACTGCACCGGGCCTAACAATGTTCTTAAAAAAGAAATTTATTGTGGGTTTTGGGATATAATAATATAATTTACAAATTAAAAGCCCTTCCCAGGTCAGTCCTTTACAGCTTTTTTTTCCCCCTGATGACGTTATGGGGTGTCTGGTGGTCCATGAGATCAGTGTTCTCTTTTTTTTGTTTTGTTTTTTGTTTTTTTCAGTTGGAGTCTCACTCCGCCGCCCAGACTGGAGTGCAGTGGCCGCTCCCGGCCACCGCAGCCTCGACCTGCTGGGCTCCGGTGATCCTTCCGCCTCAGCTTTCCACGTAGCTGGAACTACAGGCACGCGCTACCACGCCCTGCTAATTTTTTAAATTTATTGTGGAGATGAGGTCTCGCCAAGTTGCCCAAGCGGGTCTTGAAACCGCAGGCTCAGGCAATCCACTCACCTCAGCCTCCCAAGGCGCAGGATTATAGGCTGAACCTGGCAGATCAGTGTTCTCTTGGCCCTTGGACACAGTGATCAATCACCCTGCTGATTCAGAAGGTGTTATGCATCTGCCTGGCAAGGGTGGAGACACACTTGCTTTAGCTCCACAAAGCGGCAGCTTCTGCTATTTTTGTCCTACCATTTCCATGAAGGATTTGAGACTACTGAGGCAGACCGTAGTCTTCACCTTGGCCCACTGCTCAGCTCTGTGGAAGAACTTGTACATCCTTTGCAGGGTGGTTACTCATGCAATTTTCTGGAACTCTTGTCCCTAAAATTCTTTTAGAAATTCTTGGTGCTATCTTGGGGATACTGAATCTCATTCCGAGACTCTGCGTGGTAGACGTAAGTAAGGCAGATTTAAGGAAGACCAACTTTAAGCTTCCACTTGGTTCCTACAGTCTCCTCATTTAAATACATACACAAGGCTGGGTGTGGTGGTTCATGCCTGTCATCCCAGCACTTGGGGAGATGGAGACGAGAGGATTGCCTGAGCCCAGGGGTTCGAGACCAGTCTGGGTAACTTGGTGAGACCTCGTCTCTACAATAAATAAGTTAAAAAAAATTAGCTGGGTGTGATGGTGCATGCATTTAGTTCTAGCTACTCAGGGGGCCAAGGCGGAAGGATCGCCTGAGCCCAGCAGGTCGAAGCTGTTGTGGCCGTGAGTGTGCCACCGCATTCCAGCCTGGGCCACAGAGTGCTATTCCAACTCAAAAAACCCACAAAACAACAATAACATAAAAAATAATGTTACACTGTTTTTCAAAGACTGCTATCATTCATTTTCTTTCAGAGAATTAAAGATGGCGGTGTCATTGACTCAGTTAAAACAATCTGTGTAGGGGACCATATTGAATCCATCAATGGAGAAAATATCGTTGGCTGGCGTCACTATGATGTTGCCAAGAAGTTAAAGGAGTTGAAAAAAGAGGAACACTTTACCATGGAGTTGATAGAACCTAAAAGGGCATTTGGTAAGTTGGGGTGTGTGTGTGTGTGTGTGTGTGTGTGTGTGTGTGATGTGTGAAATGTGAAACAGTTTATCTTTCCAAGGAAAATGACTGCTGTGATGTGATGTCATGAGCTTTTCATACTTTTTTGTTTGCTTGTTTGTTTAAGTAAGAGTCTCACTCTGTCACCCAGGCTGGAGGGCAGTGGTACGCTCACGGCCACTGCAGCCTTGACATGCTGGGCTCAGCCTTCCAAGTAGCTGGAACCACAGGCGCGTGCCACCACGCCCAGCTAATTTTTTGATTTGTTGTAGAGATGAGGTCTAACCAAGCTGGCCAGGCTGGACTTTTCATGCTTCTCTACCCTATCACTTAAGAACATAGAACATGGTAGATAGCACTCCGAAAAGGAAAACAACTATTGAAGAAGGAAAAAAGAAAAAAACTACCACCTTGCCAAAGGACATTTTCCAGACACTTGGAATTACATAGTCTAGTGTCCAGAGACTGAATTCGATGTGGCCGTTTCTGTCTCTGAGAACAGAACATTGTGTTGTTTTCATCTTGCTGAGCAGGAAGATTTTGGATTGAGCTCTTTAAATTTTGATGACTGTTGTTCATGACCTCAGCACAAAAATTTTAGTTACATACAGAATCAGTATTTAAAATAGTTATCTAGGCTGAGCGCAGTGGCTCATGCCTGTAACCCCGGCACTTTGGGAGGCCAAGGAGGGAGGCTTGCTTGAACCCACGAGCTTGAGATCAGCCTGGGCAACACAGAGAGACCTCGTCTCTACAGAAAATTTTACAAAGTAGTGAACGTGGTGGTGTGTGCCTTTAATCCCAGCTGCTTGGGAGGCTGAGGCAGAAGGATTGCCTGAGCCTAGGAGGCAGAGGCTGTGGTGAGCTGTGATCATGCTACTGCTCTGTAGCCTAGGTGACAGAGTGAGACCCTGATTCAAAAAAAAAGTGATCCAGTTTATTTTAAAGACCCCCTCACTGATCCTTTCCCTCCACTGGCATTTTGAATCTGGCAGCGAGGGATGATGTGACATCATTTCCACTTTGGCGTGACATCTGTGCTTGCTTGGTTTCAGCCCTGGCAGCTGTATTCCAACTGTTATTCAAACCCCCAGGGCCATCTCATCTACAGGACCATGCGCCAGCTTTTCTATCTCTTCCCGGCACTATTTTAATGAGTCAAATGAAAGCCCAGTGAAGGTTCATCAGTGTTAAAATATCTTCAGCAGTGCTGGGCCTGGTGGCTCATGGCTGAATTCCAGCACTTTGGGAGGCAGAGGCCAGAGGATTGGCTGAGCCCAGGGGTTTGAGACCAGCCTGGGCAACACGGCGAAAACTCGTCTCTATAATAAATAAAAAAAATTAGCTGTGCATGGTGGTGGCACACCGGAAGTTCCAGGTACTTGGAAGGCTGAGGCGGAAGGATGCCCTGAGTCCAACAGGTGAGGCTGTGGTGGCCGTGAGCGTGCCACTGCACTCCAGCCTGGGTGACAGAGGGAGTCTCTGACTCAGAATGGTCCCCTTTGAAGGAAATATTGTTCGGTAGTGTCACTATGATGTTGCCAAGAAGTTAAAGGAGCTGAAAAAAGAGGAACTTTTGTGTTTTTTCCTTTGCTCCGAGAACATCAGTATTCCTTCAAGTTTGTCTCTGAAGCTGTTTTCTTTTTTTTTTTAGTTGGAGTCTCACTCTGTCTCCCAGACTGGAGTGCAGTGGCCGCTCCCGGCCACTGCAGCCTCAACCTGCTGGACTCTGGTGATCCTCCTGCCTCAGCCTTCCTAGTAGCCGGAATTACAGGCATGCACTACTACACTCGGCTAATTTTTTGATTTTATTGTAGAGATGAGGTCTCGCCTGTCCAGGCAGGTCTCGAACCCGTGGGCTCAGGCAATCCACTCACCTCAGCCTCCCAAAGGCGCGGGATTACAGGCAGAGCCACCGAGCTCGGCTTGAAACTGTTTTCTCAAGGTAGTTAATGAACATGATGGGAGAACATGGGGAAGTATGTTCTCTCTCTCAGTGAGTAAATGACAAATCCCAGCCATGTGGAATTGGAAATTTCTCTCTGCTCCTCTGTGTTCCCGTGTCATTTAATAAAAGTACAGTGTAGGTAGCCGGGTGCAGTGGCTCATGCCTGTAATCCCAGCACTTTGGAAGGCTGAAGGAGGATCACTTGAGCCCAAGAGTTCAAGACCATCCTGGGCAACATAGTGAGATCTCATCTGTACACAAAAATAAAACAAAATAGCCAGGAGTGGTGGTGCCTACCTATAGTCCCAGTTACTAGGGGGGTCGAGATGGAAGGATTGCCTGAGCCCAGGAGGTTGAGGCTGCAGCGAGCTGATCGTGGCACTGCATTCCAGGCTGCATAACAGAGTGAGACTCTGACTCAAAAAAAAGGAAGGCTTGCAGCACTGCCCTTTTTCCTGCCTCTGGTTGTGCTACTTATTGGGTTGCCTTGGTGATAAAGGCAAAGCTGGCTTGTTCCTGTCTAATGGCTTCCTCTCCCAGTTTGACTCTCGCCCAGGGAGGGCGTGGACATCAAGAGGACCTGGGAGACCTGGCTTCCTCCAGTTCTGCTGGCCCCAGTCTTACCTTCTGGTGTGTTTCCTTCTTTCCTTCCTGTGTTTTCTAGTATGGTGGCTCAGGGCCAAGAAGTCAGCTCTCCTGGCCCTTCATGGATATCTGACCTCCTGTCATCATGGGCTCCTTAGGGAGGCAGATTCTTCTCTGCCTTCAGGGAGGCCACCTTGTCTGTGAATGCCATTTCTAGGCTCTTACCAAAAGCTGCCAGGAATAGCCACACACGCCAGTATTCTGACATTTTCCTACCAACTGCTGTAGAGATTTTTATTTTTATTTTTCATTCTTTTTTTTTAGTCGGAGACTGCCTCTGTCACCCAGGCTGGAGTGCAGTGACATGCTCCCGGCCACTGCAGCCTCGACCTGCTGGTCTCCAGCGATCCTTCTGCTTCAGCTTTCCAAGTAGCTGGAACTACAGGTGTGCATCATCACGCTCGGCTAGTTTTTTGATTTATTGTAGAGATGAGGTCTCGCCAAGTTGCCCAGGCTGGTCTCGAACCTGTGGGCTCAGGTAGTCCTCTCACCTCTGCCTCCCAAAATTCTGGGATTACAGGTATGAGCCACTGCGCCTGGCCTTGCTGTAGAGATTTAGCCTGGAGAGGTGCGTGGGCTACTTCCCCCAAGAGTTGGTGGCTTCGTGATGGCAGCACAAAGACCATGAACACAACTTCTGTGTAGTGGGTGAGGAAGTCCTTAACTGCCGGCTCTCATTTTCATATTTAAAGTCCACCACTTGTCACACCCCACTTCCAGGGGCCATTATGGGTTGAGATTCTTTGATTAAGAGCTACAGAATAAACAATGATTTAAGGAGAAGGCATTTGTTGGAAGACTACCAGGTAGGCCTCAGAAACAGGCCAAGTGTGGTGGCTCATACCTGCAATCCCAACAATTTGGGAAGCTGAGACGAGAGGATTGCCTGAGCTGAGGAGTTCGAGACCAGCTTGGGTAACACAGTGCAATCTCTACCAAAAAAACAAAATTTAACGAGGTGTGGTGGTGTGTGCCCAGAGTCCCAGCTAACGGGGAGGCTGAGGCAGAAGGATCACCTGAGACCGGGAGGTGAAGGCTGCGGTGAGCCCTGGTGGTGCCACTGCACTTCAGTCTGGGTGACAGAGTGAGACCCAGACTCAAAAATAATAGTAATCATAAAATAAGATTAAATAAAAGAGTCAGTCATGGTTTGGGAAGGTCAGGAACCATGGCCGTTTTGGGGATGCGTGTCCCAGAAACCCTTCATGGCACTGACTGAACTGACTCCTTGCAATATTACTACTGCTACTGCTACTAATAATTTTTATTTTTTTATTTTTTATTTTTTCTTCCACAATGCCTTTTGGTGACTTAGTCTCCAGAGTCATACTCCACAACTTCTACCTTATTCTATTGGCTAGAAACAAGTCATTAAATCCAGCCCTCACTCAAGGGGAGGGAAATTAGACTCCATGTCTGCCGGAGACCAGCTCCAGCCAGGTTCAGCTCCTCCAAAGGTGGAGACGGCATCGGCGATTGGGGGGAAGAAGAAAGAGAGAAAGAGAGAGAGAGAGAGAAAGAGACTGGATCCCTGTCTAGTGCAGAAGTCCAATAATTTTTATTGTAGAGATGAGGTCTCGCCAAGTTGCCCAGGCTGGTCTCGAACCCCTGGGCTCAGGCAATCCTCTCGCCTCGGCCTCCCAAAGTGCTGGCATGACAGACATGAGCCACTATGCCCGGTCTTTATTTTCTATCTTCATATCTCTCAGGATTCCATTTCCTGGGAGAGAGGGGGAACTCATGGGGTCGGTGCCCTGCTTGGCAGTGGGGAAGCAGACTGCGTGATGGACAGGCCTACCCAAATCCCACAGAACAGTAAGGGGACGTTTCCTCATGGAGCAGGAAGGAAGCAGCCAGTGTCCCTCCACCTTGCTATTTCTCCTAAGCTGTGGTAATTTGTTCCACAGGTAGGGGTAACCTTGTCTTTTTCTTGACCTTGAATCTGAGTGTAACCTGGTAGGACGGTGTCAGTCTGGGAGTATCGGAATGGATCCGGAGAGAGAAGGGGATCGGCTGTGGTTTTGGGGGTCTGGCCTGAAGGATTTTATTGTTCTGCTCTGAAGTAGATGGGTATTAAGAATTGGGGCCAGCCGGGCTCGGTGGTTCAGGCTGTAATTCCAGGGCTTTGGGAGGCCGAGGTGAGTGGATTGCCTGAGCCCACAGATTCGAGATCCGCCTGGACAACTTGGTGAGACCTCATCTGTACAATAAATCAAAAATCAGCCGGGTGTGGTAACACGCACCTGTAGTTCCAGCTACTTGGAAGGCTGGGGCGGAAGGATCGCCGGAGCCCAGCAGGTTGACAGCACAGCTAAACCGCTCCCGGCCACTGCACTCCAATCTGGGTGACAGAGTGAGACTCCAACTCAAAAAAAAAAAAAAAAAAAAA